TTATTTAAGCGGAGATATTGTCTTCTTCTGCCCTCAGACATCAGCATTCCTGGTTCTCAGGCCTTTAACTCAGACAGGGACATACACCACTGGTGCCATCTGCAAGCTAGAGAACCAAGAACGCTGGGGGTGTAGTTCCAGTTCAAACTCGAAGTTCTGAGAACCAGGGGAGCTAATGTGGGAGCCCATCCCTCAGGATGTCTCTCCATAAATAGGTATCTCTATACATCCTATTTGTTTGGTCTCTATGGAGAAACCAGACCCATACAGGGACTTACAGAAGATCCCACACCAGTTGCCATATAATGTGCTCCCACCTCAGGAACCACCATCCTGCTCAACATTGAGATAAAACAGCTGCAATCCAATCAGTCCAGGGCAACTGCCTGATGCCTGAAAGGCAGAAAATGAAAAACATCACTGGTGCATCAGCACAGAATCCATGTGGTACGAAGCCCAAGTCCAAAGGCTAAAGCCTGAACTGACAGGAGGCAAGAAAGACCCATCAGAGGAGGCCCAGGCAGGGGGAAAAAGGATTTCCTCAGGAACAAGGCTAGAGTCTGCCCTTCTTAAATGCTGGGGTGCCTGTTACCTACACCTCCTACCATGACTCTGGCCCAGGCTGAGTTGGCTGAATTACTCATTCATCCAGTCCTTAGGCAAGATGAAACTTTGGTTCCTACGAAGGTAGCGAATCTTGTTCATCTATTCTAAAGAACAGAAGTGAATGGAAGAATTGTTATAAACCCCTGCCCTAAACTTGCACCCAACTCCCCCCTACCTCCCCACTGCCTACTAAAGCTAACGGTAATGTACTCCTCCACCATTGCTTCCTCACATGCCACCAACTCCCGCTCTAACCAGATCTTCTATTTCTCCTATACTCATATCTCACACTCTCTCACCTCCCCCTTCGTCCACTTTTACATGCAGAACCCTAGTCTTTGGTGGCTTCTCCTCTCTACACAAGGATCTCCCTTTCCTCTCACCTGTTTGAGAAGCAAGTAAGATCCATCATAGCATGAAAAGTGCTGTTATGGATTAATGGACCAAGGGATTCCATGGAACACTGAGTCCCTCCCTGAGCCTACCCTACCCCCTGAGATGACTGTGGGAATTCCATGGAATTCCAATTCCATTTAAGTCTAGAAAATGCTGAATAAATACTTCATCCTCTCCTTAGAGTTGCACAGTGCACATTTGCATACTGAAAGCCCTGAAAAGTCCTACAGTTAAAAAAAACATTCAAACGGGCAAAGGACTTCAACAGACATTTCTCCAAGAGCTGTACAGATGGCCAACAAGCATATGAAAAGATGCTCAGGGGCAGCCCCGGTGGCTTAGCGGTTTAGCGCTGCCTTCAGCCCAGGGCGTGATCCTGGAGACCCGGGATTAAGTCCCACATCAGGCTCCCTACATGGAGCCTGCTTCTCCCTCTGCCTGTGTCTCTGCCTCTCTCTCTCTCTCTCTCTGTGTCTTTAGTAAATAAATAAAATCTTTAAAAAAAAATGCTCAATATCACTAATCATCATGAAAATGGAGGATTAAAAACACAATGTGATATTACCTCATATCTGTTAGGATTCCATTATTGGGGAAAAAAGAAGAAAAAGAAAATAACAGTATTGGCAAGTATGTGGAGAAATTCGAACCTTTGTACACTGCTGGTGAAAAGGTAAAATGGTACAGCCACCATAGAAAGTAGTATGAAGGTTCCTCAAAAAATTAAAAATAGAATTATTGGGGCAGCCTGGGTGGTTCAGTGGTTTAGCGCTGCCTTCAGCCCAGGGCATCATCGAGTCCCATGTCAAGCTCCCTGCATGGAGCGTGCTTTTCCCTCTGCCTGAGTCTCTGTCTCTTTCTGTCTCTCTCTCTGTCTTTCATGAATAAATAAATAAAATCTTTAAAAAAATAATAAAAAATAAAAAATAAAAAATAAAAAATAAAATAAAATAAAAATAGAATTACTGGAGCACCTGGCTGGCTCAGTCTATAGAGCATGACACTAGACCTTGGGGTCCTTAGTTCGAGCCCCACATTGGGGGTAGAGTTTACTTTTAAAAAAAATAGAATTACTGTATGATCCAACAATTCCACTTCTGGGTATATATCCAAAAGAACTGAAAACAGGATCTCGAAGAGACATTTATACACCCTACAGCATTATTCACAAGAGCCAAGAGCTAGAAGCAACCTAAAATGTTCATCAACACATGAACAGATTTTTTTTTTAATGTGGCATATAAAAAAAAAAATGTGGTATATGCACACAATGGATTATCATTTGGCCTTTAAAAAGGAAATCCTGTCATATGCTACACCATAGATGAACCTTAAAGACATTATGCTAAGTGAAATAAGCCAGTCGCAAAAAGATAATATTGTATGATTCCACTTATATGAAGTATATAAAGTAGTCAAACTCTTAGAAATAGAAACTAGACAGGCACCTGGATGGCTCAGTTAGTTAAGCATCCACCTTTGGATCTCAGGTCCTAGGATTGAGCCCCGCTTCGGGCTCTCTGCTCAGCGGGGAGTCTACTTCTCCATCTCCCTCTGTGTTTGCTCTCTCTCTCTAATAAATAAATAAAAATCTAAAAGGGGAGGCGAGGGTGGGAGTTGTTCAATGAGTACAGAGTTTCAGTTCTGCAAGATGGAAAAGTTTCAGAGACCTATTACACAACAATGTGCACATAGTTAACACTATTGTACTGTACACTTAAAAATAGCTGCGATGACAGTTAATGTTAAGCTTCCTTACCGTAACAATAAAAAGAAACTGCTCAGCTCATTTACTATTTTCTTGACCACTGAATACACTTTATCCAGAACATCTTATGAGACACAATAGAAATACTATGGAATACTATTGGGGGAATAAGGCTCTAAACATCAAAGTATACTAACTACACGCTGTTGCCTCAAATTATCCAATCCCTTTGGTTATTCATTTCAGCGTTTCCTTTGCTCCTGAGGCCAGGAAATCTTATGTTTCCAGGCAGGGGTCCAATATTCCTGCTATCCCAGATTAACACTGGCCTGATATTGTCACAACCATGCAGTCTGGCACCTTTGGGGAGGGACAGAAAAGAGGCCAGTTCAAGTTGACATTTTGGGGAACTTGTTCAACTTAAAGTAATACTCTTACACGTTTCCCCTCCATCATGGTAGACCCTCATCAGTCATATCTACACTACATGCCATCCCACAAATGCGTGCACACACACACACTAGAGTTTTTTGGGACAGAGTCACCAGCTCAAGAAAATACAAAATACACCAAGTTACTATGCTAATAAAGTTCTCACTCAGCTGGGTGATGGGCACTGAGGGGGGCACTTGGCAGAATGAGCACTGGGTGTTATGCTATATGTTGGCAAATTGAACTCTAATAAAAAATTTTTTTTAAAGTTCTCACTCAGGACTCTAGATTTGGGATTAAGGTTCTAGCTCAATCTGGTATCTTCAAAGTAAAAGATCAAGATATAAACGTGGGAACTGTCAGATGGACCCCTATTTATCATCTACCTTGTTGCCTAAGAAAGGGAGAAACTGATCTATGGCAAGAACTGAAACCCTCCCATCCCAGTTGTTCTTGGCCTCCTGCATTCCTGCCCTCAGTTTCCATGAGACACTCCATCTGAGGTCCTGACATTCCACAAGTCCAGAGACCACCACTCATAAGCTAGAGTTCTGCCAAAGCAGTGGCTCTGCATAAACCTTTATAAAGTCTTTTTATTTTTCAAAGGACCTCAAGGCAGTTTCTGCAACCTATAACTAATGGATCCTAGAGCACCAGCTGTATTTCCCACCATTGCTTATGCCCTCCTTGGGCTTTTGCCATGGGAATTTGCCATGTTGTTTCTTCAAAGTACTCCAACCTTCCCCGCTTCTCTGCCTTTGCTCCTACTAATCTTCCCACCTAGAATCCTTTCCCCTTCCTCTATTTATCCAATTCTACCCATTCTTCAAAATCCAGTTCAAATGCCTTCCCTGCTCTTGAAGCCATCTGTCACCTTCCCTTTCACCCTCAAACTTCCACAGTGTTTTGTCCAGATTTTCTTGATGGCACTTCCACGTTCCACCTTGAATACAGACATGTCTCTACTCCAGTACTCAACTGTATGCTTCTTGAAAACAGGACCATTCTCATCTTTGTGTCATGTACCATACCTACGGCAGTGCCTTGCATATAAGCAAAGGCTATAAAAAATATATATGTATAGATGAGTCTATGGAAGAATAATACTTTGTATATTGTCTCATCCCTCTGAACAGTATTTTGTATACTGTCACATCCCTTTGTAAACCTGCAGTCCCATGACCATGGTATAGGCACTTAAACACTTGCTGACTCAATGACCTAAAAGAGTAGATATTAGAATCCTTCCACCCTTCTGCCCTTCAGCCCCATCACATGCAGTCTCCACCTCTCTAAACCCAACTCCTCCCATATTTAGATCACTAGTGTTCTCAGAGGTAAAGGGCACTTACTGAGTTGCTTCCATCAAAGGTAATGGTTGGGGAGGAAGGAGAGGAGAAGGTAGTATTCAAAATTATCCCTAAAATCTGCTGGGGTACAGATCATGACTACTTTCTGGCTGTTCTTCCAGCCATGTCAGAGGGATGGGAGGGATAGTCTGGATGGGGAGAAGGGAGGCAGGACAGGCAATTCTTATAAAGAAAGGGTGTGGCAAAAGAGATGGGGTAAAGTGTGTCAGCAACAGAAAGGCCCAGACCTCTGCCCCTTCATTTGTCCACTAACGCTTCCACAAGTTATTGAAAACTGAGTGCATTCACTGGAAATAATGGAGCCAGGGACAAATCCACAAGCTTTCAGGAGAGCCTACTAGACACAGGTCCCTGTGCTAAGTCTTGGAGGACATGCTCAGCTATAGACTGACAACTAGAATCCTACAAACACGCTGGGGATGAGGGAGAAGAATGAAAACAGAGTAGAGGCTGATGAGGTCCATCACCGGCCTATCTCCACTCAGTACCTGGTGGGCATCTCCCGATGGGATAATGTAGGCCTGGATCGGTTCTGTCACATACTCTGTGTTCCTCATGGCTTGTCGCAGCTGCCGAAGCAACTCTGAGGTTACCTTTGGAGCCATCCTGCCGTCTGCAAAAACAGGAGAGTTAGTTCCAAAACCAGCCCGCTCTATGCAACTCATGACTAGCTCAAAGAGAGCCCTAGAGACATACCTGCCAGCTGCCTCACCCCAGCTGCATCTTCAAACTGACCACCTCACCACCAGACCAAAACCAAAGGTCCCTAAAACTCTCAAGTTTATAGTTTTATATACCACTTCCAAACAGCCATTTGCGGCAAGTAAGTTGAGCTACTAATACTCATTTCCAAATTGATCAGTTAACCCTTTCACTTCCAGGACTATATTACAAAGAGATATATAAATGCACAAAGATACCTGTTTATCTTTGTAGTTTTTTTTAAAAAAGTGGAGGAAAATACATAACTAGGTAAATAAACTATAATACATATAATAGTACACTACTAAAATCATTAAAAGGTACACAGACCAAAAAAAAAAAAAATTATACAGACCTGTATTTCACTTGCAAAGACTGAAAACAGATTACAAAATATGTATAGATCGTTCTTATTTAAAATTCCGTATGTGTATATCCACAGAGAAGTTTCTAGAAGGCCAGTCACCCCAGTGTTAATGAATGGTTACCTTTGGACAGGGGGATTTTTATTTTCTTTTTCTGGTATCTTACTGTTTAAGTTTGACTGCATTAAAAGAAGTATGTTTTATGTTTCAGTTAAATAGCCAACTATAGATGAAGAATAGAAAGGTCAGACCACTACAAGTCAAGAGTCTAAGTCATGTGCTCTAGTGAATACTTACTATCAATTGGGTGTGCAACGTCAAGGAGAAGGGGACAGGCCTCAGTGGTCTGGGTTCACCTCTCTAAAATATGGTGAGAGCAGAGTAGATCCAAGGTTTCCAAACTGAGCCCTGAAAAAATCACAGGGATCCCTAGGAGTCTATCCCAATAAAACTAGAGTTTTTTGGGACAGAGTCACCAGCTCAAGAAAATACAAAATAGAAACAGAAATATGAAAATCATTAAAAAGAAAATGTTAAATGTGGTCTTACTAGAATTCTTAAAATTTTACTAATTTCTAGGTACTCAGAGCATTGCATCGACTATCGATGTGATAAAGGCACAGATGATGCAAGCAGACTTTCAAATCACTTTAGTTAGTTCTTCAAAAAAATCTTTTCTCAGGATACCAGGGGGGCTCAGAGGTTGAGCGTCTGCCTTCAGCTCAGGGTGGGATCCTGGAGTCCCGGGATCAAGTTCCACATCAGGCTCCCTCCATGGAGCCTGCTTCTCCCTCTGACTATGTCTCTGCCTTCTCTCTGTGTCTCTCACAAATAAAATCTTTAAAAGAAAATCTTTTCTCAAAAAATATTGGTATCAAAGATTCAGATGCAATGAAACGCCGGGACACCTGCACCCCGATGTTTCTAGCAGCAATGTCCACAGTAGCCAAACTGTGGAAGGAGCCTCGGTGCCCATGGAAAGATGAATGGATAAAGAAGATGTGGTTTATGTATACAATGGAATATTACTCAGCCATTAGAAACGACAAATACCCACCATTTGCTTCAACGTGGATGGAACTGGAGGGTATTATGCTGAGTGAAGTAAGTCAATCGGAGAAGGACAAACAGTGTATGTTCTCATTCATTTGGGGAATATGAATAATAGTGAAAGGGAATATAAGGGAAGGGAGAAGAAATGTGTGGGAAATACCAGAAAGGGAGACAGAACATAAATACTCCTAACTCTGGGAAACGAACTAGGGATGGTGGAAGGGGAGGAGGGCGGGGGAGTGGGGGTGAATGGGTGACGGGCACTGAGGGGGACACTTGACGGGATGAGCACTGGGTATTATTCTGTATGTTGGTAAATTGAACACCAATAAAAATTAATTTATTTAAAAAAATATATTGGTATCAGTGTAACAGTTCTGATAAACCATACTGTATAGTAACTATAGATCTGACTAGATAAGGACTATATCTAACTATAGTCCCATGAGTTATAACAAAACAACTTCACAAAAAGCCAATTATAAAACAGCAACCATATTTTCCTAATCCCATATAGTGACACAAAACTATACTATTAGAATTCAAGTAGAATAATGAGTTTTTCCAGCTCATTTTTAAATAGATTTTATTTTTTTAGAAGAATTATAGATTCACAGCAAAATTGAGCAGAAAAGAGTTCCTCTATACCTCCTTCCTCCCAACATACAAACATCCTCCCCCTCACCCCCCGCCCCACAATCAAGGCCACTGCCAATGGAACTAGAGAGCATTATGCTGAGTGAAATAAGCCAGAGAAAGGCAAATACCATATGATTTTCCTCAGATGTGGAATTTAAGAAATAAACATGAGGGGAGGGAGTAAGGAGAGGAAAACCAAGAAATAGACTCAACTATAGAAAAGATGGGTGAAAGGATGGCTTCTGGGGATTAAAGAGGGCACTCGTAAAAAAAAAAAAAAGAGGGCACTTGTGGCAGCACCTGGCTGGCTCAGTGGTTGAGTGTCTGCCTTTGGCTCAAGGTGTGATCCCGGGGTTCTGGAATTGAGTCCCCCATTGGGCTCCCCACAGAGAGCCTGTTTCTCCCTCTGCCTGTGTCTCTGCTTCCTTCTCTGTGTCTCTCATGAATAAATTAATAAAATCTTTTATTTTTTTTAAAATTTATTTATTTATTTATTTATTTATGATAGTCATACAGAGAGAGAGAGAGAGAGAGAGAGAGAGGCAGAGACACAGGCAGAGGGACAAGCAGGCTCCATGCACCGGGAGCCTGACGTGGGATTCGATTCCAGGTCTCCAGGATCGCGCCCTGGGCCAAAGGCAGGCGCCAAACCGCTGCGCCACCCAGGGATCCCAATAAAATCTTTAAAAAAAAAAAAAAAAAAAGGAGGGCACTTGTGATGAGCACCCAGTGTTCTGTGTTGAATCACTAAACTGTACACCTGAAACTAATATCACACTATATGTTAACTAACTGGAATTTAACTAAAAACGAGGGTAGCCCCGGTGGCTCAGTGGTTTAGCGCCTGCCTTCTGCCCAGGGCGTGATCCAGGAGACCCGGAATGGAGTCCCACGTCAGGCTCCCTGCATGGAGCCTGCTTCTTCCTCTGCCTCTGCCTCTGTCTCTCTCTCACTCTCTCTGTGTCTGTCATGAATAAATAAATTAAATCTATAAATAAATAAATAAATATATATATATATATATATATATATATATATATAAACTTGAAAAAAATAAAATTTTTTAAAAGATCCCTCACCAGAGTGGTACATTTGTTGCTCCTGATGAACCCTCACTGATACATTATTATCCCCTTAAATCCATTGTTTGTATAAGAATCACTCTTGGTGTGGTACATCCTATAGTTTTTGTTTTTTTTTTTTTCATCCTATAGTTTTTGACAAATGCATAATGTCATGTATCCAATATTACAATATCACACAAAATAACAAGAATTTTCATTGCCCGGGGATCCCTGGGTGGCTCAGCAGTTTAGTGCCTGCCTTTGGCCCAGGGCGCGATCCTGGAGTCCGGGGATCAAGTCCCGCATCAGGTTACCACTATGGAGCCTGCTTATCCCTCTTCCTGTCTCTGCCTGCCCCTCTCTCTCTCTCTCTCTCTCTATGTCTATCATAAATAAATAAAAAAATAAAATAAAAAAATTTTAAAAAGAAAGTTTTCATTGCCTTAAAAATCCCCTCTGCTCAGTCTATTTAGCCCTCCCCTCACTGGCCCTCAACCCCTGAAAGTGACTCATCTGTTTATTGTCTTCATAGTTTTGCAAGTCAAATAGGCTGGAATCCTAGAATACACAGCCTTTGCAGATTGGCTTCTTTCACGAAGCAATATGTACTTAAGGTTCTTTTGGGTCTTTTCATGGTTTGATAGCTCATTTCTTTTAGGGATAAATAATATTCCATTGCCTGGATGGACCAGTTTATTTATACATTCATTTACTGAAGGTCATCTTGGTTACTTCCAAGTTTTGGCCATTATGTACCAAGCTGCTATAAACATCCGTGTACAGGTTTTTGTGTGGACATAAGTTTCCAGCTCCTTTGGGTAAATACCAAGGAGCATGACTCCTGGATCATAAGGTAAGGATATATTTAGTTTTATAAGAAACTGCCAAACTGTCTTCCTAAGTGGTTGACCATTTGTATTCCTGCCATTAACAAATGAACGTTCCCAATGTTCTACTTCCTCACCAGCATTTTAGTGCTGCCAGAGTTTCAGATTTTGCCAACTCATTTTTTAAAACAAATAAAAAATATTTTAACCAAAAATATCCTAGCATACAAAGCTGTAAGTAATGAAGAGTTACACTGGGGCCATTATATCTTCCAGGACTGACACCCTATAGCTTGAACTTGGCTAGGTACGGATCTTTCTAAGTTTCTTTTTCTTTAACATTTCCATCTGCTTCTTCTCCATCATTGCCAGCATCTGGAGCTACAGAAGTCTCCATCATTATGGTTACATCCAACAGACTCCCTTATGAGGCATCATACTGATCTTAGGACTCACTGAAAAAGTGCCTCATTCTCATTTTCCAAGGGTAGCTTCAACCACCAGCCTCAGAGCTCCATCTGAGTCTCCAAAGGAGAGTACTTAGAGTCACTGGAAATGGTCCTATTCACAATTTAAACAGGCCTACGTTCCTTGCATTAGAGCTAATTATGAATACAGAGGAGCATCCTTTCCTTTTGTCTAATCTACTGAACCTGTAATTTCTCATCTAAGAAAGAGAGATCACCATGATCTGATCCAAACTAAGTTTATATGTCAATACCTCCGACTGGGTTCAAAATAAAGCCTATAGTGACTTTGTAAGCTTGCCAGCATCTGAAACTTTATTATGAATTTTTCAGGGGTTTTAAATTGTATTTCTGAGCAAGTTATCATTAAAAACAGCCAAGCCAAAAAGTAGACTTCCTTTGGAGCAGTATTTCAACCTTGGCTGCAAAACAGAAGTACCTGAGGGACTTTTAATAATTTAAATTAGTCTAGAATTTTAAAGAGCAAATACATGATAGAAGCCGATGTATTTTCTGTCAAGATCATTAATTTCCTTATAGAATTTGGTTTCTATTTGGGCATATGCTGATTTAAGGATTTTGATGGCACTACTGGGTGTTTACAGCTCTGACTATAGTGTGTATCAACATTATTGGTCACTGACTTCATTGACAAAGTCAACAGAACCAATGGCAAGCACAAAATCCTCAACTACAAACTAAAAACCATCAAAGATGAAATGGAATTGGTCAAAGGCCTCCTTTGGTTCCTAGGCACCATAACCTGCCTCCTCACCAGCACATCCTGGCCTTCATCACCATCTCCTGCCTCATCATCTCCTTTTCCCGCTCCACTGTCCTCCTCAGAATCATCAGCACTGCAGGGTTACTCTACTACAGAATTTCACACTTCCCTAAAAAATGCCACCTGCCATAACTGCTGCCCCCGCCCCCCTCCTCCTCCTCCTCCTTCACGCCCTTCGCATTTGGTTGGTGTCCTGGGTCAGAGGCAGCCACTTCTTTGTCACAAAGATATCTTTGTGTTTGATATGTGTCCCAATACTACAACCTGCAGTTAGGACATGGTAAGCAGCAGTGGCAGCCACAGTAAAGGTGAAGAAGACAAAGCAACGAGCTGTGGCCATGGAGGCAGCTTCACGGAGGTGGTGACAATGTGCCAAGGTGGCTTGGACAGCTGTAGCCACAAGCACCAACAGGCCATGAAAGAGACTGAATGGATCAGCCGCTAGCTGAGGAGGGGACAAAGCTGACACCATTACAAGATCGAGCCATGGAGGTGGCAGTGGCTGAAAAAGCAACCAAGACAGAAGAGATGAAAAATCTTACAAGGATTAAATAGGTTACTATATACAAAGGCCTTAAAAACAGTGCTTGGCACATAGTAAATGTTATGTGTGTACAATTAATAGAGGTAGATACACAATTAACTAACCCTGAAAGCAATGTGATAAATAGTGCAACAGGTGTGCATATTGCTTCTCCTTAAACTAGGGACATGTCATCATCATTCCTGAATCCATGTATTAAGCCCACCACCTAACACATATGGATACTCACTCAAGGATGGCTGAGTGAATGTCCCAAATTCATGTCATGATCTTTCCAGACTCAATATAATCAACAGCAATGAATCTTCAGTGAAAGAAGCTAGGATATTAGAAGACGTCATATTAACAGCATCTGCTCATTCCGCATTCTATCACTTTGAGAAATTTAGAAGCAGCCAAGAGTTAATCAGGGTGTGCTGGGAAGTAGGAAGCCAAGAGCAACAAGCCTAGTCCATGATGTAACATTAGCCCATACGCTGCCAGGTATTTTTAAATCATGCTTTAAAGAGAATGACTCATGTAAAAGTCTCTTGCATATGTGGGCCTGCTTTTAGAAATAGATTCTGAAACCTTGAGCCTTTACCATAAACAAAACTTTTCATTGCTTAGAAGTATATGAAAGGCACACCGTATTTACCTCACTGGGTGGGTAGGAGAAGTCAACTTCACAACATGTGTGAAAGTACCATGCACAGCATTGGGTACATTATAAAAGCTCAAGAAATATTATTTGAATCTATATCTGAAGCACCAGCTGGGTTTCTTACATGCCTTTTTGTAAGAATAGAAGGGGTTGGTTTACTCCAATTTCAGCATCTTAACACACACATAGATACCAGGCTGCTCTTCCAGCATCAATAGCTTTAGAGGCAGTGGTTTGTTTCTCTGTCTCATTGCTGAGGGAGGACCAAGGGCTTTACATACTTAAATGGTTCTCAAAATAACCCTTCCAAGGGAGGTTTCAGTATTCCCATTTTACAGATAAAGGAAAAGAGTTAAATACTTGCCCCATTCAACTCAATCATCAGGCACCAGGACCTAGTATCTATCTAACTCCCAAGTCTGTGCACTATTATACCATATTATCTGGAGAACGCTCTGCTACGCTCTCTTAAAGTATTCCAAGACCAACAGAATCGAAACAAGTGGATTCCAGTTTCCACAGGATCTGCAACCTCAGACAACTGATGGTCCCCAAACTTCTATTTCTTCAGACATACTAAAGAGAAGTTCTCTTTAAACTCTACATTTGATAATTCTATCACTGTTTCCTTTCCTTTTTCCTTCCTCTTCTCCTCCCTCCTAATATGGTCTAAAATATGTTGGATATATGTATCCATATTTTTAAAGAAAAGGAACCTAATTGCATGCAATTATAACACTGCTCTTCTATGGTTTATGAACTTCAGATAATCGAGTTTTCCAGTTGACTAAAAGTAAATGCTCCTGGGTACCCCAAAGAAAAGCACTAGCTTTCAAGGGATAGAAATATAGTAATATACCACTTTTCAGAATTCAAGTTTCTGGCAACCCAACAACACAACTAACCAGTTCTGGGAAGAGAGTATGGTTCCAGAAATTTTTCCCAAAAAGATTTTCCTGAATGCATAATTTACATAGCAGAGTAATATACTATAAAATTTTCTCATTTCAAAATCTTATGACAAAAATTGAAAGCCAATCTCTAAGGTAGTAATAAAAGTTTATGTTAGAGACAGGAAAAACTAGAATAGTGCTTTTGGGGGGAGGGGCATAGGGTGGGGGTGGGCAGAGGGAGGAAAAGAAGAGAGAGAGTCTGGAGTCTGATGCAGGGCTCCATCTCACGACCCTAAGATCATGACCTGAGCCAAAATCAAGAGTCAGACACTTAACCAACTGAGACACCCAGGCACCTCTAGACCCTAGAATAGGGTATTTTCAATAATAACCTATCGACTCCTCTACCACTACCACTTAATCACCAAAAATAGGAAATATGAAAATTATAATTCTCTTATTACCTTAAAAAAGTGGTAAATATATACAAAAACAGTAACCAACTACCCAGAACCCAAAGGATAAAATGGTTTTTAATTTCCAGATTTCTGTCCCCTCAGTCCCAGCCATGAGCAATTATTAATCCTTTACCCTCTCTTCTCTCCCAACTTGGGATTAGGGTACAGGGACCTAAAATTCTTTTCAGACATCCCATCTAATTAATAGGCAAAATTATTACCTGTTTCCACACCTGGGTCTCCTGAGTGTGTCACTTCGTTAGGCTCAATTATTCTTAAATTTCTCAGCTGAAAATCCTGGTGATTCGCCCTTAAGAAGAGAAAGAACAGATATTGCAGACTTTGACCATAGGAAACGTGGCAAAGCTTAGTTAGAGGATATCTACTTGACTTAGCAATTTTCCTTCGTGAGTCAGAAGGACTCTCACCCCGGTATCATAACGAAATAAGTAAAAGTTTCAGATTAAACTTGCAACTACAACAGCACCATGGCAGGCAAACCTTCTCATATCTAACCTCTAATTCCTGAATTCTCTTCAGCTATGTCTAATCTCCTAAGTAGTCTAAAAAGATTTTGTTTGCAATGACTGTTTTTTTTTACATGTATAAATTCTGTTTGGTTCTCTTTAAATTTGACTGCTCTTTCTTCATGGTGTCTCATTCTTTCACTATGGTTTCTATTCTTTCTCTCAGCTTTAATTATTTGGGGCCTTTATTTTATAATTCATTTCAGACTTTCCATTAGAAGGTCTGGGGATGGTTAATCTTCAATTTGCTGGGTCTGCTGGCTCCCTCTTAGTAAGTTATTCCTTGTGTGTTTTGTAATCTTTTATTAAGAGCTTATCTTCAGGGCAGCCCTGGTGGCTCAGCGGTTTAGTGCCGCCTATGGCCCAGGGCCTGATCCTGGAGACCCAGGATCGAATCCCATGTCAGGCTCCCTGCATGGAGCCTGCTTCTCCCTCTGCCTGTGTCTCTGCCTCTCTCTCTCTCTCTCTCTCTCTCTCTCTCCCCTCTGTGTATTCTCATGAATAAATAAATTAAATCTTTAAAGAAAAAAGAGCTTATCTTCAGTTGAGACTACTTCATCTATGAAAATCAGACATGCCCTAGATTGTGTGAGCACTACTGTCACTGTTGTTTGCTTATGAGACTAATTTCCACTTTACTTTCTTCGATAGAAGATTTACACACAGGTCTCCAATCAGCATACAGGATAGTCTGATGCCCTGGACCCCAGGTATGAAGGCCTATAGAGTCTAATAACCTCCTCAGGCTCAGCTTACTAGCTACCATTCAAGCTTTAAGTTCCTCTAAATTTTTGGCACCTGAGGATTTCTCTCTTTCTTTTCTTTTTTTTTTTTTTATATTTTATTTATTTATTCATGAGAGATCCAGAGAGAAAGAGGCAGAGACACAGGCAGAGGGAGAAGCAGACTCCATGCAGGGAGCCTGATGTGGGACTCGATCCCGGGACTCCAGGATCATGCCCTAGGCCAAAGGCAAGTGCTAAACCACTGAGCCACCCAGGCTGCCCGGATTTCTCTTTTTCAAGTCCATTCAGTCAACAAATATTCATCGAGACTCTCCTATATAATCCAGGCATTCTATACACAACAGTGAACAAAACAGACATCATCACTGATCTCAGGAGTTTTAGAAGGGTGTGTGGTAGGGGCTAGAGGATGCTGAAAAGAGGAGAATCCAGGAAGAGAGGCAAAAGATACAAAACAAGAATATATTCTATCAGGGGGTATGCATTCTATGAAAAGAAGCAAAGCAGAGCAAGAGGAAGAGCGTCAGGGAGGTAAGGTGAAAGGTGATTTTATACGGGTTTTCTAGGCAAGGTCTCTTTGCTAATAGCTGATATTTTAGCAGAGTCCTAAAAATCAAGTCATGTGAATGTCTAAGAAAGGAACATTCTAGAAAAGGGGAATAGTAAGTACAAAGGTCCTAAGGCAGGAGTATGCCTGGTATACATCAGAGAAAGCAAGAAGGCCAGTGTGGTTGTGTGTGCTGGCAGATGAGGAGGTAAGTGGTTAGGAGATAAGATCTGAGAGGCAACAAGGAGCCTCTTACTGGTTATACAAAGAGTTTGGATTTTACTCAGTTATGAAGTTAAAAGTAATTTTGTTATAATTTTACCACATTTTTATATGTTAGTAAAGGGAAAAGAGCCCGCATTAGCTCAGTCTATGACACAGCCAGAACCAGAAGACCAGACATTTTCACCAATCACTCCAGACCTGTTCTCGGAGAATTTAATTGTGTTGGGCAGAATGAAATGTTCTACTTTAATTTTGTTGGACAGAATGAGATATTCTTTATTGAGAGAATCATATATTCTTTCATTAAAAAGTAAAACATACCAATATTTCTTATAAATAGAAGTGCAAATATCCTTAAGAAAATACTAGCAAAACTGAATCCAGTAACATATAAAAAGGATCATACATCATCACCAAATGGGCTTTATCCTAGGAATGAAAGACTGATTCAACATATAAAAATTAATGTAAAAAAAATTAATGTAATACATAATATCAACAGAATAAAGAATAAAAACTACATGACTACCCCAATAGACACAGAAAAAGCATTTTGACAAGATCTAACACCTCTTCATGATTATAGTACTCATTAAAGGGAAGAAAAGAAATTCTTCAACTTGATCAAAAATATTACAAAAATTCACAGCTAATATCATCTTTAATATAAAAAAGCTGAATGTTTCTCCCGTAAGATCAAGAACAGAGATGTCCAATATTTCTATTTTAAGTCAACATTGTACTAAAGGTTCTATCCAGGGCAATTAGGCAAAAATTGACATAGAAAGCATCTAGATTAGAAAAGAAGTAAAGGGACGTCTGGGTGGCTCAGTGGTTGAGTATCTGCCTTCGGCTCAGGGTGTGATCCCGCTGTCCTAGGATAGAGTCCCACGTTGGGCTCCTTGCATGGAGCCTACTTCACCTGTTTCTGCCCCTCTCTCTGCCTCTCTTTGTGTCTCTGATGAATAAATAAATAAGATCTTAAAAAAAGAAAAAGTAAAATTATATCTACTTGCAAAGGGCATTTTATCTTCAAATAGAAAATCCTAAAGAATCTACCCAAAAAGTTAGAACAAACTCATCAAGACTGAAGGCTACAAAATTAATATACAATAATAAATTTCTTTCTATATACTTAAAATGAACAATCCAAAAATGAAATTAAGCAAAGTTCATTTGGGCAGCCCAGGTGGCTCAGCGGTTTAGCGCCGCCTTCAGCCCAGGGCGTGATCCTAGAGACCTGGGATCGAGTCCCATGTCGGGCTCCCTGCATGGAGCCTGCTTCTCCCTCTGCCTGTGTCTCTGCCTCTCTCTCTCTCTCTGTCTCTCATGAATAAATAAATAAAATCTTTAAAAAAAAGAAAAAAATAAAAAAAAAGAAAAGCTCATTTACAAAAGTATCAAAGGAAGTATCTAGGAATAAATTTAACAAAATAGATGTCAAACTTATACTCTGGGGACACCTGGGTGGCTCAGTGGTTGAAGGTCTGCCCTGAGCTCAGGGCGTGATCCTGGGATCCGGGATTGAGTCCCACATCAGGCTCCCCACAGGGGCTTGCTTCTCCCTCTGCCTATGTCTCGGCTTCTGTCTCTGTGTCTCTCATGAATGAATGGATAAAATCTTTAAAAAAAAAAAAATTCAGCTAGTTTGTATGCAGAAATTGACAAAGAGATCCTGAAATTCATATGAGAATGCAATCCAGGAAGCCAAATCAATATTGAAAAAGAACAAAGTTGGAGGATTCATCCTTCCGAGGTCAAAACTAATAAAATATACTAATCAAGACAGTGTGGTATTAGCAAAAGGACAGACTTATATATCAATGAAATGGAATTAGTTCAGAAATAAACCCTCACGGGGATCCCTGGGTGGCTCAGCGGTTGAGCGCCTGCCTTCGGCCCAGGGTGTGATCCTGGAGACCCGGGATCAAGTCCCGCATCGGGCTCCCTGCATGGAGCCTGCTTCTCCCTCTGCCTGTGTCTCTGCCTTTCTCTCTCTGTATCTCTCATGAATAAATAAATAAAATATTTTAAAAAATAATAATAAAAAAAATTAACCCTCACATTTACTGTCAATTTTTGACATGGTGCCAAAACTATTCAATGGAGGAAAAAATAGTCTCTTCAACAAATAATGCTGGGACAACTAGATATCCATATGCAAAAGAATGAAGGTGAACCTCTACCCTCACACCATATATAAAAATTAACTCAAGGGACGCCTGGGTGGCTCAGTGGTTGAGCACCTGCCCCTGGCTCAGGGCGTGATCCGCAGTCTCAGGATCGAGTCCCACATCAGGCTCCCTTCCTGGAGCCTGCTTCTCTCTCTGCCTACGTCTCTGCCTTTCTTTGTCTGTGTCTTTCATGAATAAATAAAATCTTTAAAAAAAATTAACTCAAAATAGATCATAGACATAAATGTTTTCCTAGAATACATAGACAGAAATCTGCCTGACCCTGGAGCAGGCAATGATTTCTTCAATATGACATCAAAAAACATAAGCAAAAAAAAGCATAAGCAACTAAAGAAAATAGATACACTGGACTTCATTATTAAAGACTTCTGTACTTCAAAGGATACCATCAAGAAAGTAAAAAGACAACTTATGAAACGAGAGAAAATATTTGCAACTCATATCTAACAAGAGTCTAACATCCAGAGTATATAAAGAACAATTACAACTCAACAATAAAAAGACTACCCAATTTTAAAATGGTCAAGGGTTTCTGAACAGACATTTCTACAAAGAGGATATACAAATAGCTCATGAGCACATGAAAAGATTTTCAACATCTTTATCCATTAGGGAAATGCAAATCCAAACCACAGTGAGATATAATTTCACATTCACTAGGAAAGTTATAATAAAAAAAATAGATAATAACAAGTATGGGTAAGGATATGGAAAAACTGGAACCCTCAGACATTGCTGGTGGGAATACAAAATGGTGTAGTGACTTTGGAAAACAGTCCAGCATTCTCCAAGAAGTTAAATAAAGAGTTATCCTATGACCCAGCAATTGCAATCCTAGGTGTGGGAAACTGAAGACAAAAGTCCACATAAAAACTTGTATACAAATGTTCATAGCAGCATATTCCTAATATCCAAAACACAGAAACAACCCAAACGTCCATCAACCAAAGAATGGATAAATCAGTGGTCTATCCATACAATGCAATATTATTTGGCAATTAAAAGGAGTCAAGTACTGATAACGTGCTGCAACATAGTACACTCTGAAAACATTTTATGTTGAGTGAAAAAAGCCAGTCACAGAAGACCATATATTGCATTAATCTATTTTTTTAAAGATTTTGTTTATTTATTCATGAGAGACACGGAGAGAGACAGGGAAAAACACAGGCAGAGGGAGAAGCAGGCGCAGGCTCCATGCAGGGAGCCCGATGTGGGACTCAATCCTGGGACTCCAGGGTCACGCCCTGAGCCGAAGGCAGACGCTTAACCTCTGAGCCACCCAGGCGTCCCTGTATTAATCTATATGCAATGTCCAGAAGATGCAAATCCATAGACACAGAAGGTAGACTGGCAATTGCCTAAAGCTAGGGTGAAGCTGAGGGAAATGAGGAATGCCCGCTAACATGTACATGGTTTCTTCTGGCAGGGAGATAAAGTCCCAAAACACTGTAGTGATGGCTGTACAACTCTTGAGAATATTCTAAAAACCACTGAAATGTACGTTTTTATTTATTTTTTTTTTTTATGACAGTCACAGAGAGAGAGAGAGAGAGGCAGAGACACAGGCAGAGGGAGAAGCAGGCTCCATGCACCGGGAGCCCGACGTGGGATTCGATCCCTGGTCTCCAGGATCGCGCCCTGGGCCAAAGGCAGGCGCCAAACCGCTGCGCCACCCAGGGATCCCGAAATATACGTTTTTAAAAGGTGAATTGTGTGGTACATGAATTCTATCTCAATAAAGTTGTTAAAATATTTTACAAAGTAACCTCTTGTTTTTGGGTAGAGATCCATGTCGCATGGTCACCAGGCAAGTTGCTGGTTTCCCTTGACTTCATATTTTCACCTTTACAAGACGGTGAGCCAAGGAAGTTGGTTTCTCTATACATTTGGCAGTTAACTGGTCCCCGTGACTAATGAGGATACAGGACAAGAGAGTTGGAGGGAAGTTATTCAGAAGTAGCTCTATTCGTTCACTTTCAAAGAGAACAAAGATAACTTGCCACAGGCCACATACCTCAGCTGCAAAGCCATAATAAGAAATCAGGTCTGACAGGTGATGCTCATGGAGAATTTGAAGTAAAGCTCTCTCCCTTAGCATCACTACCTCCACCCTCCTGTCAGGATCATGAAGGAAGCTAAACGTGAAGCAGTTAAACATGACAGTTTTTCTGCTCCTGTGATACCCTGATCTCTGAATCCAAGATCCAGCCACCCTAGGGATGCCTGGGTGGCTCAGCGGTTGAGAGTGGGCCTTTGGCTCAGGGCACGATCCTGCGGTCCCAGGGTAAGAATCCTGCATCCGGCTCCCTGCATGGAGCCTGCTTTTCCTTCTGCCTCTGTCTCTGTCTCTCATGAATAAATAAATAAAATCTTAAAAAAAAGATCCAGCCATCCTTCACTTAACTTGGACAGACACGTTCTCAGGCCTCGCAGCTGCAGCAGGGCTACCATGAGATGTTAGAGATACAAGGTACCTCAGGTACCAACTCAGCTCCCTCCTCTAGACAAACTGAGGAACAGAGATCAAAGGACTCGCTCAAAGCCTCACAGCTGGGTGGTGACAGGGGTAGTCTAGAACCACAGTCAAGGCCTCCCAACATCCAGCACAGCGCTCTTCCCCTTCCCAGGACTTCTTCCGCCTACACCTTCTCAACATCATGAGGTGGGTAAGGGGAAGGAAGTGTGCAGAGAACTGCCTGCTTGATCTTTGCATCAGGTAGGCAGGGCACATCTTTCTCCCTCTCTCTTCTTTCTCTTTTCTTTAAAATAAAGAAATCCCAGCAGGGGCGTGCTTACCGGCACCCTGACCCTCAGTCCACAGTGAGAATCATATGTGTCTATCACACGCAGGATGGGGCAAAACAAGCACCGAGTTGCTCAATCACACCTCAGGAGTTCAGATAAGAGTAGACTGAAACAAGTTTTAGTGTATGTAGTGGGAAACGTGGTCTTTTCCTACCCCAAATCCATCCCTCCCTCTTTTGGTCAAAGCACAATGGTTTCTATCTGAGACCGTCCCGTCTCTTTCAGCCTACAGAGTTGGGATGAATCTCATCCCCTCACCCACCAAGTTCTGGGACCCAGGCCTGGACAATCTATCCCTGGGGCCACACAACTGGTTCAGGAATAAACATACGGTCAAATCAGCCCCCTGGAAATCAGATCTGGGGTTTGCGCTCCAACCATTAGGAAAGAGGGCTCTATTTCTGCTGGGGCTGCCAGCACAGAACGGGCATACCTCCCATAAGGAGAAAGGCGGCCTGAGAACGAAGCCAACAGTTAGGAAATCAGAGCCAAAGAGAGGCCAAGATGATGCCACGGTTGGTCTCCTGGACTCACTGCACTAGAGGCCAGCTCAACCCCTTTTTACCTAAGTCCATTTTACCTGAACTGCAAGAAGTTCTCATGCATACACTGAATAGCCCTCAAATTCTGCCACAAGGGGAAGGGCCTGGGGCAAAAGGCTTGCCGGTCCCTCAGCTGCCTTCTGTGTGTGACAAGGAAGCTCTGCCAGCAGATGCTCAAAGACCCTCCTGCCCCCCAAAAATACTGTGATTCTATAAACCTACTCTTGGTCCACGGATGTGCCTAGGATCTAAGTCATCCTTATCCACTTGCCTAACCCCATTTCCAGCACTTAACACAGGGGGCAACTCCTTCCACACCAGGATGGCCACACCTCCCCCCATCCTTCCACAAGATAGGTCTGGTTCTCTACCCATCCCAAACATGACACAGCAAGGCCAAGGCCAGGTCAAGGTCAGCTTGGGATCTGTCCACTCACAATCACTAATACAAGCCATGGTCTGTGTTCAGCAAGTGAGCCTGGCCATCCTGCCAAGGGTAGTCATCAAGTCCCACTGAGCTGAGGACGGCTGATCCCTGATCCCGTGTGGAACGCCAGGGATCTTTGCTTCCGGCCTTTGTGATCTCCCAGCATTTCTCTGTCTCCCACTTTGTTAGCTGCTGTAATAAGCATACCCTAGGCGGGCGGGGGGGATGCATAGGCTGAAATGTGTCTGAGACCAGGAGTTTATCCTTCCCAGCTCCCTGCGCCCAGGGAGAGCCCAGGGAGAGCCCAGGGCGCGTTCCTGGCGGGATCTTCCTAGAGGCTATGGCACAGTATCCCCTTACACAGCCGCTGAAACCATTTGATGGGGACGGGCCGCAGGTGCCTATCCTCCTGGCGGTGGCAAACGAGTAAGGCGAGCTGCTGGTGTCCCTACTGTCAGGGCTGTAACCTCAAGATTACAGTCCACGGGAGGAGGGGCGAGGGCAGGGGCTCACCCGTTCCCAGGACCCCCGGAGGCGCCTGCAGGGGCCAACTTCCTGCAAGAGCGGGGGCCTTCCTGCCAGGCCTGGGGAGGAGGCGGGCCACGGCCGCCGCCCCTCGGGCCGAGCGCCGCAGCTCCGCGGGCACAGGCGTCCACGGGCCGCTATCCGGCTGCCCGAGGGCGCCCGCGGCCCTCCAGAAACGGCCCGGAACCTGCCCGGCTGCACGACTCCCTCCCGCTGCTCCCGCTCGGGGGGCTCCCGCACGCCGCGGCCTCCTCCAGACCGCGACGCGCCGCCGGCGGCTGCTCACCCTCTAGGTCCTGCCCTCCGGGGCTGCAACGTGCGCGCCCGGGCCCCGGGGCCCGCGCCCTGCCCAGATGCCGGCTCCCGGGCAGGTCCCTCACCTTACTCGCGGTGCCTTTCTGGAGGCTGCCATTCGGCGGTGACGTGCCCCGGCCCACGTCAGGGCAGCGCACACCAGCTGATCACCCCGTGGAGCGCAGGAAGCAGAAAGGCCGGCGCGCACGCTGCGAGCGCGCGAGCCCAGCGGCCACGCCCCCTCCTGTGGCGTGCGCTCGCGCCGCGCCCCGCCCACCGCCGGCCACGCCCACCCGCAGGCCTCGCCCGCCCGCAGGCCACGCCCGCCCGCAGGCCACGCCCGCCCGCAGGCCACGCCCGCCCGGGGCTCCGCGGGCGGCGGGGGCGGGTCTGCGCTTGCACCGCTGCAGGCTTAGCCCCTGGGCCTGCAGCGCGGCGTCGTTCCTGTGGATTTTTCTCGGTGTTCGCCCAAGAGAAGAAAGAGGGGCTTTGCCGGCGGGAGGGGGCTGAGGCGCGAAGAGCTGCCCCCCAGGGAGGCTCCAGCCGTCGGGAGGACAGAGGAGAGGAAGCCGGTCCGGTCGTGATAGTACTTGGGCGAGGCTCTAGAGATGCCCCCAGAATCACGTCTCCAAACAACCTCAGAATCCAGCGGGCCACCCGCTTGGAGAGCTGACAGGCCCCTCAGACTTAACACGTCTGAACCACGCTCTTGGCCCAAAGCATCAAAAAAAAAAAAAAAAAAAAAACTGTGCTCCACCAGTCTTGACCACCTCAGCCAGTGGCTACTCCATTCTTTCGGGATGCTCAGGCCAAAATCCTGGAGTCATCCCAGCCCTCTTGGTTCCAACATCACATCCAGCCGGTCAGAAAACCGTGTGGACCCGTTTTTAAAATAAATCCCTAATCCGACCCCTCTCACCACCCCCATCTGTCCCTCTCTGGTCTGGTGCACTTCTGTGATTGATTACACTGACCTCCCTGCTGCCACCTGGCACCTGCACGCTGTGGCCTCAACACCGCAGCTGGGTCAGTCCTTTGAAGTCTGAGATCATGTTGCTCCTCTGCTTAGCGCTTTCTGATGGTTCCTCATGTCACTCAAGCCAAAAGCTCTGCTTGATCTGCCCCTAACCTCACTTCTTCTATTCTTACCTTGCTCACTCCACTCCAGCTAAACTAGCCTCCTTGCTGTCCTTGAAAAAAACTAGGCACACTCATGCCCCAGGGCCTTCGGACTTGCTCTTCCCCCAACTATTAGGGCTCTCTTCCTTACCTTTCTCTCACCTTGCCTTCAAGTCTTTGCTAATCCCACTGTCACTCCTAATCCCCCTTACCGTGCTGTTTTTTTTATAGTGCTTATTGCCTTTTACTATAATAAAAATTTACTTGTGTGTATTGTATTCTATCCCCTCTTAAACACACACACACACACACACACACACACACACGAAATAGCCATCAGTGCAAGGATTGTGTCTGTGTTGTTCAATGGTGAACAATTCCTGCCATGTGGTAGGTTCTCACTGCATATATTCTGCAGGAATTAATGTCCTTAGAATGTACAGTTCTCAAGGGTAAGGGACCCTGGTGCTTAGAACAGCACCTGGCACAGAATCAGCACTTAGGAAATATTTGCTAAGTGAAAGTGACCGCATTTTTAAAGGTGATCTACACTTCTTGCTTTGACCTTGGTGAAGGCCTAATACACCTGTACCAAATAGTTTCTGCAGCCTGCAAGAACTTGAAGTTCTGGTTATTATTGAATAAGCATTTTAGACAAGCTAAATTAGGCCCCATAGAAAAAGTCTGAAAGAACTAAAAGATGTGACACCTTGGAAAGCAGCAGACGGCTGTTCCATATCCCCAAATTTATAGAGCCAAGAAGAGACAGATTGTAAATAAAATGACTGGTTCCAGCCCACACCTGATAGATGGTGGGAAAGATCAAGTTGTAAGAGAAAAAAGGAAATGTCAGAGAGACGGAGAAGTGGGACATAAAAAGAAGCAGGTATTTCGTAATCACATTGCCTAGGAGAAGTCTGCTCAGAATTTACAGCATCTGGCTCTAGGGGAGAAAGAGAATACTTTGTGTTCCCTGGACTGGATTTGAATTCCGGTCTGCTGTATAACCAGGCACCCCTCCCCATCTTAAGCTTCTTTTGGGACAAACTCAGAGAGAAGTTGTTGAGCTAGATTATCACAAAAGGTGATATGTCAGGCTCTTCTGACTCTTCAGTCCTCACATGTTTGAAGAGGTGGAACAATCACTAAGATTTACTGAGCACTGTGAGCCCAGCCCGCAACAGCCCAATGAACAGAGGACTGTTATTCTCATTTTGTTGGTCAAAGAACTGAGATTTGCACAGGTTAAGTCACTTCCCACAAGCTAGGCAGTGGTAGGGCTCTGTAAGGTACATTCAGGCAGCAGGATGGATTCCTAGCCCCCAAACCCTTAAACCAAAGGAACAGAAAAGGTCACCTCATCGAACTTTCTAGACCACACACCGGAAAGAGAGAAGCAACCAGACTCATCATTCAAATTCAGACTGGGTGGGCCTTAGATGTAGCCAGAAACACTAAGTGTGTAAAAACATATTTTAAATAAAGATTTTATTTGTTTATTTGAGAGACTGAGAGCACAAGCAGGGGGGAAGGGCAGAGGGAGAGGGAACAGAAGACTACCCACTGAGCAGGGAGCCCTATGCAGGACTCCATCTCAGGACTCTGGGATCATGGCCTGAGCTAAAGGCAGATACTTAACCAGCTGAGCCACCCAGGTGCCCCTGTAAAACCATATTACAGGTTGAATGCAAACCCCTCACCCCCCTCACACACACACATACACACAAGTCAAAGTTTGAAGCCCCAACCGCCAGTACCTCAAAATGTGATCGTATTTGGAAACAGACCCATTGCAGATATAATTATTAAGATGAGATCATACTGAAGTAGTTGGCCCCAATCCAATATGACTGGTATCCTTATAAAAAGGAGAAACTTGGACACAGAACACCACGTGACAATGAAGGCAGAGATCCCAGTGATGCATCTACAAGCCAAAGATGGCCAGTAAACCACTGGAAGCTCGGAGAGAGGCACAGAACAGATTCCCCTTCACGACCCTCAGAAGGCACCAACCCTCTCTTGGCCTTGCAGTCCCAGCCTCCAGAACTGTGAGAAAATAAATTTCTGTTTGAGCCGTCCAGTTTATAGTACTTTGTGACAAAGCCCTAGGAAACCATACAAAATGAGTTCTTTTCTTTTTTTTTTTTAAGATATTATTTATTTATTCACGAGAGACAGAGAAAGAGAGGCAGAGACACAGGCAGAGGGAGAAGCAGGCTCCATGCAGGGAGCCCGACGTGGGACTCGATCCCAGGTCTCCAGGATCACACCCTGGGCTGAAGGCAACGCTAAACCACTGAGCCACCAGGGCTGCCTACAAAATGAGTTCTAAACATTCAAGCATATAAACTGTGGAACTTATTTTGGCCACACAATATTCATCCAATCTCCTTCTGCAAACCAACCTATTTCCCTCCGAAGACCCATCCTTTCCTCTTCCCTCACCCCCTCATTCTCAATCTCAGTTATTCTGGTGAAACATTTGGGTTCCAGGAGTCTTTCACGACCTGGGCATATGCTGCAGTGAAGACTCAGAGATTGCTCTGGGACAGAGCAAGGCAGTTTTCACAGTGAGTGCTAGAACAGGGCTTTGTTCTTTCCTCTGCCAGGCAAGACCCCGGATGTGTGTTCTCTGGAACGACTGCCTCTACATGCAACATGTGAGTGGCACCAAAGCAGCAAAAGGCAGAGCGAAAAGAGAAGAAGGGAAGCAGTAATGTCATAGTGTTATTTAAGCCCTGAATCCTGCCATGCCTGAAACCAAATCTCCCACTGGACTTTTCAAATGTCAGCCAAAAAATTTCCCTTTGTGTTTAAGTCAGTTTGACATGGATTTCCTGTCACTTGAAATTGAAAGACTCCTCACTGAATCATTTAAGTAAGTTATGTTCTATCTGTACAACTGAATTCTATACATGAAGTAGATACAATTTTATTAATATTAATAATCATGAACTAAGAAATGGAAAGAATAGATTACAAAACAATGTAATATCCCATTTTTATAATTATATGTAGATACATATATGTATCTACTAATATAGATACATTTTTATAATAAAAGGAAAATGATCCACAAAATAGTAACAGCACTTATCTTGAATTTGGGGTGTTCTTAATTTTGCTTCACTTTTTAATTTTTTGTGATTGGTTTTGTTATTTTTTAAAAAGCCTCAAAAAAAATAAAATAAAATAAAAAGCCTCAAAATACTATTCATTTCTCTGACTCTTTCTCCTTTAGAGATGGAATGAAAGACCTATTCCATTCTCCAGATCTGAGCACCACAAGCATACACAGCCCTCCAGGATTCAGCTTGATAACTGGTTGATGGCTTCACCATTGATGGGGGGAAGGGGGCAGCATCCCTTTTGATAAACCCCCAGATGAAAGGACTGAAAAAATAAAAACTCTTGTAGGATATCAAACAAAATTACAACTTCGGAGGAGGGTTTTAACCTTTTCAAATGTTTCAATTTGTCCTAATGAAATTGAGAGCTATAGAACCAGTGATGAGTGAGGCTCTCATAAACTGTTACAATATGGCCTTATTTTTGTAAAGTTAACCAAGAAATAGGCTTGTGGTTACACCCTAGAAAGGAATGGGAGAAGAAAAGCCAATCTGGGGGATTGTAGAGTCTGCCAAAACAATGTACTGTAAATTAAGGGTGGGCGAATGCATTTGGCTCAGCTCAGAATCTACTCACCCTTTGTATTCAATGAAAACTGAACTCAGACCTCTGGATATCTGAGTTCTATTTACTCTTGGCAAAGTTCAGTTCTTCTGTTCAAATGAAAAAAAAAAAAAAACAATAAACTTTTTTTTTTTTTTTAACTTAAAGAGACCCAAAGGATTTCTTGGACATCAAATGGTTCTTGCACAAACAACATCATGATGAGCTAAGTGTAAATGAATCAGGAATATACAGAGTAAGTGACTGGAACATGCAGACCTCACCATGATATAGGAAAAGAGGCTCTAGGAAACACTATGTCTGTCTCTTCCTTTAAGGAGGATTCCTTTTTACCATATTTTATCCGTTTCTCAAGAAGTCTTTCAAGGTCCTTTAGAAGATGTGGGAAAAGGATG